GCTTAACACTTCTGTCAATGTCAAATCAATTGTGCATATGACCGTGAGGCCCTATATGCCATTTTGCGGGCTATATAATTTGCAAACACATGTTTACTCAGTCAAGAACAAAAACTTGGGCGAGCAGCTGACTCCACGCCAATCGCTTCGAATGATCTGGTCAGCGACCCAATGCAAAATTTAAGGATCAAGGCATTCGCTCGTTATATTGTAGTTGTTACAATCGGGTGTGTCATCTCCTTGGTGCAAAAGCGAGCTGGATGTGAGTGCCTTGCCAATGGTAGCCGATTATAGATTGATGCTCATCTGCTTTACGTAGTTAGTACATCGCGATATGGCGAGGTCGGAAGAAGGATTAGTCTCGAATAGAATATGGGATTTAACCTCTCCTTCAGTTTCTCCGGCAGTACGTTCATTAGCGTGGTTGCCAGCACTAGAAGATCCCGTTTGTGTAGTGATGGTACAAAATCAAGCATCACCACTGATGTCTTTGAGCAGATCTAAGGTGTCTTTGGGGCGCACCAGGCACAGAATACCAAACGTCTGTTATATCTAGCGAAACGAAAACAAGTGCTTCGCTCTATCGAGGCTCATCGAGGCCGGCGCATCCCTTTCTTTCGGTCAGCCATGTAGCGACTGAACGAGCCCATACCTGTCCAATGTATCCCTTTCGGTCCGTTATCGAGCGTTCAAGTTGGATGTGATTCTTCATATCTACACCCCCGTGCTCAGCAGAACTATGGCAGTATATACCGTCAATATATTCATGCGTGTAAATACCATGTGATCTGAGACCTGCGTCGCCAGACGACTGATGCACCAGACAGCCCATGTGACATAAGCAATCACTCCAAGAGCACTTCACATGGAGCACTCACTGCGTTGAGACAGGTTGCCGTCGCTCATGAGCAGTTGATTAAATCCATCGACCGGGCCAATAACTTTGAACGCCGCACAACCGATCATGCAAATTTGAAGCACACCATTCATGATAAAACAGCGTTTGCACCGGAATTGTGACTATATTTCGCTTACTATAAGAATACACACATTGCCACTCGCTTCAGTCTCTCTAATACAGAAGTTTGGAGAATAATAGGATGATTCTCTTTCTTTCCCATCACTTACACTTTGTGCAATGTATACACTCGTATTACCAAGTACTGAAATAATGTCATCCAAAATGTTTATTTTGATGTCCTCCTCAAATAAATGAATGCGCTGATGAGACATGAAGATATGAATAGCAAACATACGAGGCCGAAGTTAGTCAACTTAGTTTTGCACATTTCAATCAAAATTCGGCGTCAATGATCACTCGGTGGATGATGTGCAGCACTTAGTCGATTGCATTTGCATATCTTGTTTTATTAATTAGGAATTTGCTCACGTAATTCGACAAGCGACACCGCGCTTGGCTTTCTTTTTAGATCTTAGCAAGATCATCAATAAAATTGCATCGAGCGCGGGCGGGTCGAGATTCGTAAGCCTCGGAGCAAGCATGACTACAGGTAATTCTTTCGAGTTTAATCTACAGACGACAGCTTTTTCCAACGGACTGCGTCACGTTGATATCTCTGCGATTCAACCCATCCGCATTTTTGCAGGGTTGAACAGTAAAATCGTCGTAGAGTTCGTTTGTGACGAAGAAGAGAAGGATGTGTGTATATCTTGCCGCTGTGCCAATTCCTGGTAGAGATTTTTCAGAAGTTGACAATCGATGGAGAGAATTTTCGACGTTGTCCACTGGACATACATAATACGACCATCTTGTGGGATGACAAGCACACCGTCAATTGTTGCTGGGAAATAATTTGACATCGATATGTACAGCATTAATTCATTTCTAATTTCGAATGACGCTTCAATGGCCTCGAACGCTGCATTTAGTGGACCATGTTGCGTCACGGTCCCGACACCGTTTCCTTCGAGGGATTTCATACAAAACTTGCTGGCAGAAAGTTCATGCAGCAATTCGTTTCCTCGCCAGGACTGATCAATCGAGGCTTGAGCCCGCATTAAATCACGTATTTTATTGGAGTAATTATTGAAATGCCCTTTCATAATTGTCTCGACTGCAAAAAAAGTTGCTGGGTAAGCACGGCTGGACGCGTTCTCGTTGCGGTACAAATAAAACGAATCGCTATCCGTCCAGTTATCGATTCGATTCTGCTTGCGAGGCTGGACCTCGTACTTATCATCTTCGAGATTTTTAGGGGTGCTTGCTTCCACATGATGAACCAAATATTCGGACTCATGGCGTGATTGAACCATAACGCTTGGTTTGCCCCCAACAAGATTGACTGTTCGTAACCAATCGTCTTTGCCATTTAAGTTAATCGCATCGGCAAACATGTCGCACTCAATCTTGGTCCATGGTTCCATATACGCCTCAAAGCAAAGCGTCTTGGCAAATTCGTTGTAAGACTGAGGGCATGAATCGGCGAACAAAAATGCGCAGTTGAATTTACGAAGTTGCAATGCTTCACCGGTTCCCTTTCCATCAAACAATCCATCGTAGTTGCAACCAGCATACGGCGTTTGTGAACATTTATAACCAAAAATATCCCAAGTAAAGTAGATCAGTTTATCATCACGACCACGGTAGGCTACATTCTTTCGCTCCGTCAAGAACACCAGTAGCAAGAACACCCCAAACACCGACTTTCCAACTCCAGAAGTACCAAGTACAAGAAATCTTCGGAGCAATCGATTTGTTCTCAATTGTTGCTTGATGATAACATAGAGATCCCAATACTCCTGCCGGATGTACAAGCCGTAGGGCACTGATATATTGAGACTTCTCGTTGGAATATCCAATATTTTTCCGACCATTCGCTCCACGCCATTTTCAAGTTGTGGTACAAGTGCAGCCAACATATCCAGCTCACGACTATCGAGCTTTTCGCTTCGCTGCCGTTTTACGTCTGGTACCGAAGGCTTCGGCTCGCTCCAAAATATTTGCATTTGACGCTTCGTCGGCACCAGTACGATGAGCGCATTTTTCTTTGAGCTACCAAAGGTACCAATCGGCACATCCTCTTCTAATGGCTTCTCCTTGGCGTCATAAGCCTCAATGTCCGCGTAAATTTTTAA